GTTCGCGCCCTGCGGCGGGCTCTGTGCTGTCTGCCCGCACAGAGCCTGGAGCCTATTTCAGAGTCTGTATCTCCCTCTCTCTCTGACCCTCCCCTGCTCACGCTGTCTCTCTCTCTCTCTCTCTCTCTCTCTCTCTCTCTCTTCCTAGGAAAAAAAAAAATCTAAGTCCTTACCTACCAGCTACACTGTCGTTCTCTAATATATGAAAGTCAGAGACCTCCACTTATAAAATAAACTCCTAGATACAAAGCACCACTTACTGTTTTACATGTCAGGGTTGCTGTACAAAGACTGCACTTGACAAAGCGATTCCATTGCCAGAAAGATTTCTGAAAATCTTTGGGGCGCCGGGGTGGCTGAGTTGGTTAAGCGGTTGACTTCAGCTCAGGTCATGATCTCGCAGTCTGTGAATCTGAGTCCCAAGCCAGGCTCTGTGCTGACAGCTCAGAGCCTGGAGCCTGCTTCGGATTCTGTGTCTCCCTCTCTCTGCCCCTCCCCTGCTTGCTCTCTGTCTCTCTCAAAAATAATAAACATTAAAAAAAAATTTTTTTTTTTTAAAGATTTCTGAAAATCCTTGAGGTTAGGTTATCAGTTGTAAAATGGAAGGGGGCTATTTAGTGGGGCACCAGGATACAGGAACTTCCTCTTACAAATAAGAAACAGCTCTAGCATAAAAAAAAAAATCTAGCTTTTGCACTGAATAAAAACCAAAACCACACATGCAAGGGAAAAAAAAGGATGTTTCTCATTTTTAAGATTTTGTCCGAGATTTGTTCATCTGTTGGCAGTGCTTCATGCTCCCAGCAAGTAAAGACCAGGAGACACCAAAAGATTAAGAAAAATACACTGGGGGGACGGGGGTGTAGACTGAAAAAATTCCACCTGTAAAACATAACACTTTTTCCTATCAAAAAGCAAAAAGACCACCATTATTTAATATTGCCAACAGAAGTCCTGATTCTCGCTAAGTCCACTTAAGAAGCTTCTGAAACTTTTATTCCACAAAAACATAATTGAAGACACTGAAATAAGTAAACAGAAGCAACTATAATTTATGGCTACAGATAATATTTTCTAAGTGGTCATTTATCAAGAGTTGGGCATCCCATGTGCTGAATTAAACCATCGCTTGAGCTCTCTACAATTTCACATTGAACAGGATGAGTAAAATGGCCTGTGCCAACCACACCGTGCCCTCCCAGGACAGCCAGAACTGAAGCCAGGGCAAAGACACATGACGTTTCAAAGTTCACGTTCACCCAAGAAATCAGAGTCGGGCCACACCCACTGGATCAGCACTGGATCAGGGCCCTGCAGAGCTGGGCACCAGTACCAGCTCAAAGAAAAAAGAGGAAGACCCCGTCCAGGCTGAAGGAGGGCCAAGAACCTCCTATTTACTTCTCAAAACCAGCCCCTCCCCATCTGTAATAGAAAATGTAGATTCTTTGAAGGTTAGAAAAAAGGAGAAAGCACGAAATGTCAGTTACTCCTTACCTTGTTTCTCTTTTTCTTTCAGTGGATCAGTGTTATAGACTCGGAATCCATTTTCCATCCCACATGCAAAGCATCCTGAAGTGTGAGAAAGACCGCTTAGTCATCTCAGTGGGGACTCCGCTAAGGGCCCTGGGACTGAACAGGCAAAAGCAAAGGGTCCAGAGAAAGCAGCCTTTCCAGAGAGTCCTGGCAAGTCCATGGCTCCTGGTGCGGAGCTGCAAGCAGGAATCCCAGCACGCACGGCACTCCAGACTGGAGCAGGGGAGGAAAGGGCCGCTACAGTGTGGCCTTCCAGAAGGTGGCTTAGGTCTCCCATGACCTCCTCCCACCTGTAAACAAGCCAAACCCTTAAAACCCTGTCAAGGTCACTGTGAGTGACCAGGGCCACTGCCTCCAAGTCACACAGCACGTTGTTAACAGTCCAATTAACACCAAGCAAAACAGCCACTTTGGTAGAAAACACCAAGTATTGAGCGGACAGAGATGCAGGGGCGCTCCCAGCCTGGTGGACGGCACCCGCAGACCACTCTGCACCACGTACTACAGCTGTCACTTCTACTCCTCAGCGTGCATGCCTGGCAGAAATGACAACATCTGTTCACAAAAGGCATGCACTGGAATGTTCACAGCAGCGCTCTCATACATCATTAAGCAGCGCTCTCATTCCAAAACCTGGGAACCTACCTAAATGCCCCCCCAATGGTAGACTGAATAAATTATGATATATTCACACAAAAAACACTATGCATCAATGAGAATGATTTATAATGATACTCAGCAATGTGGAAAATATCTCACAAACACCATGTTGAATTAAAAAAAATCAGAAATAAGGGGTGTCTGGGAGGCTTGGTCACTTAAGCATCCGACTTCTCAGGTCACAGTCCCACAGTCCCACACAAGTCCCACTTGCACTCTCTGTCTCTCTCAAAAACAAACATTAAAAAAAAGTTCTTTTAAAAAGTTCTTTTAAAAAATCAGGAACAAGAATTATGTACAAAGACAAGCAAAACTAGTCGGCAGTAGCTTGGAAGGAACACAGACAGATGGCCAGATAGGTTCAGTTTCGATTGATTGATTGACTGATTTCTGAGAGAGAGACAGCATGAGCAGGAGAGGGAGAGGGAGACACAGAATCTGACACAGGCTCCCGGCTCTGAGCTGTCAGCACAGAGCCCGACCCGGGGCTTGAACCCATGAACCGTGAGGTCATGACCTGAGGTGAAGTCAGAAGCTCAACTGACTGAGCCCCCAGGCGACCATAGGTTCAGTTTCTTAACCTGGGTGCTGGGTTCAGTTTGGAAAACTCATCAGGCTGAAGACTTAGGATATGTGCATTTTTCTGTAAGTTTTGCGTACGTTAATAAAAAGTTAGAAAAGTATTAAAAACGCCAAAAGCTGGAAAACACCCTTTCAGGAGGCTAGGCATTATCCTTGCTGTCTTAATAGTCCTTTTCCCACAGAGGAACCGACAGCGGGTGACCCCACACACCCTTGGGTCAGCTGGTGGTGCGGACACGGGCATCGGAATCTCTGAAGGGCACTCTCCTACGCACAGGCATGCCTGGTTTCCTTTCAAGTCACAGACATGTTTCTTACAAATCGAAGACCTGTGGCAACCCTGCCTCAAGCAAGTCTATCGGCACCATTTTTCCACAGCATCTGCTCGCTCAGGTCTGTCTCACATTCTGCTAATTTTAGCAGTATTTTGGGCTTTTCCATTGTTATATTTGTTATGGTGATCTGTGACCAGTGATTATAAATCACTAAAACTCAGATGACGGCTAGCATTTTTTAGCAATGAAGTATTTTTTAATTAAGGCACACACAGTGGGTTCTTTTAGACAGAATGGTACTGCACACGTGTAACAGACTACAATGTGGTGTAAACATAACTTTTAGAAGCACTGGGAAGTCAAAACACTCATTTGACTCACTGTACTGTAACAGTCCATCGACTGCGGTGGTCTGGAACCAAACCTGCAGTGTCCCTGAGGTGCCTGCACGGACTGCTTATGTACAGCCCACGAGCAAATACACCCCTATTTCCTGTAACTACAGTGAAGTAGGTCAAGGAATCTGTGGCCTGGGGTCCTGCTCCAGGCAGGATAAGCAAGTACCGTACATAGAGAAGGGCACATACTCAAAAATTTGTGTTTCCCAAAGGATAGAGAGAAAACTAGGCGGCCAAGTTAAAGAAATGTACATCTCAACATTTAAGAGTCTTGAAGACCATAGTGCAAATTATCTTTAGAAGATAAAGTCTGAACATTTAAAATTATGAAAGCCCTTTTAAAAATGATTTCTTGTACACCTGAAACAAATGTAATGTTGTGTGTAAACTATATTTCATGTAAGAAAATTAAAAAAACAAATCACCAATGATTTCTAAGCCAAAAGTTGCAATGAGAGGTTAAAATGATAAATAAAAATTAGGGGTGCCTGATTGGATCAGTCGGTTAAGTGTCAGACTCTTGGTTTGGGCTCAGGTCATCATCCTGGGTTCAAGCCCAAGTAGGGCTCTGTGCTGATATCTCAGAGCCTGCTTGGGACTCTGTCTCCTTCTGCCCCTCCCCTACTTGCATTCACTCTCTCTCTCAAAATAAACTTAAAAAAAAAAAAAAATGCTGGGGGCGCCTGGGTGGCCCAGTCGGTTGGATAACCGACTCCTGATCTTGGTTCAGGTCAAGATCTCACCGTTTCTGAGACCCAGCCCCACATCAAGCTCTGAACTGGCTGGCAGTACAGAGCCTGCTTGGTATTCTCACCGTCCCTCTCTCCCCTCCCCTCCCCCCACTTGTGCACACCCAGGCTCGCTCTCTCAAAATAAACACTAAAAATGTATTTTAAAAAATGCTTGGGGCGCCTGAGTGGCCCAGTCGGTTAAGTGTCCGACCAGCTGAAGTCATGATCTCACGGTACGTGAGCTGGAGCCCCGCGTCAGGCCCTGTGCCTGGAGCTGCTTTGGATTCTGTGTCTCCCTCTCTCTGTCCCTCCCCTGCTCACATTGTCTCTCAAAAATAAACATTTAAAAACAAATTTAAGCTATGAAAAAACTAAAAATCAGTATAAGTAAAAACAAAATGTAACAAACTTAACCATCTGGCATGAATTTATATTATAAAGAATTAACCCAAAAGTAACCAGAAGCTTAAGTATAAAGGCATTTTTTTTTTCAAAAACATTAACTTTACTTATAAATTGTTACAATGAAATGAGCTGGATTTCCAAAAGGGAATTTTTCAGACAACTGAAATAGACCCTTTTAAGAGCCACAATCGTATTTTAAAAACAATCTTTGGGGCACCTGGGTGGCTCCGTTTATGACCTCATGGTTGGGGGAGTTCCAGCCCCCACCAGGCTCTGCTCTCTCAGGGCAGAGCCCGCTTAGGGTCCTCGGTCTCCGTGCCCCCGCCCGGCGAGTGCAATCTCTCTCTCTCAAAAATAAATGTTAAGAAAAAAGTTTGATGAAATCTTTATAGAAATACTATAAGCTTCACTGGCTTCTTTAAAAATCAGCATCATCATGAGCCTCAATCACTGTACTGAAACTTGACACAGACGCCTCGTCCAGCAACAAGGCAGGTACGGAGGACGACCCTCTTGCACTGAACACTCAAGTAGCCCAGCTGTTCTGCTTCTGTAAACGCAACAGGTACCCTCCTCCCTACCAGACACCCAACTCTTTCCACTGAAAACATTTTTTGAAGAGTTGTTGTATCACCGCTAATTCCGTAAAGAGCTCCCAGGGATTATCAAGCCCCATTAAAAACCCTTCTGGCCTCGTCCGGTTATCAACCCCCTAAACGCTGGGCCACGTAACTGCCCAACTCCCAACATCTGGCCGCAAACTCCTACCTCGCTCGTCACGAACACGTTCTTCCACAATCCGTGCAGTCCTGCCCGGCCAAAGCTAGCGCTCAGCCCGCAGCACGCACACCCTTCCCAACCCTCCCCCCGCCCCGTCGGTCAGCCACCTCCTCCAAGAAGCCCTCCACGACCTCGAAGGCAGGAAGTAAACTCGCCGTCCTCCAGCGAGTCCCCAAAAAACGGGACCCTGCAGCAATTCTCGGATTCCCCTCAGAGATAAAACTTCCAAAGCTACACGCAAAAGCCGTCAGAAGTCGGCCCCAGGGCAGCAGCTGTCACCCGGCTCTTCCCGGGAGCAGAACCAGTAAACCCGCAGCGGAGGCAGCTCGGCGGATCCGATCCCGCCCCGCCCGCCCCCTGCGGGCCTTCCCGGACGCGGCTGCGGGAGCGGCTTAAACCCGCCCCGGGGCCTCGGCTGGAGTCGAGTGTGCGGGGAGTCGAGGCGCGTTTCCCCCACGGGCATAACCAACCATCAAGTCCTTCCACGTGCTCGGGCTTCACGCGGCGCTTCGCCGGCGTAGTTCGCGGACTCCCTCGGTAGAGCCCCCGGCAGGGCGACGGGAGACCCCCACCCCACGAGGTCGCTAGGCCCGCGCAAACCGTCAGGAAAAGTCCAAGAACGCGGCGGAGAAGCCCTCCACAGCTTACGTGCCGGGACCCCGCGCGAGGACGCGGAGAAGCGGGGTTTCGGAGCGAAGCCGGGTTGGCGCCGAGCCGGGGGGGGTGGGGGCCGCGGGGCACTGCCCGAGTGGGTGCGGCCGCCGCCCCGGGGCTCCACAAAGTCCGGAGCGAGGGGCCCGCCCGGAGCGGGAGCGGCGGCGGGAGGACGGCCTTGGGGAGGGGGCCGGGGAGGGTCGGGGGGCGTCGGGGAAGGGGCCCGGCCGCGCCAGCAGCGTTGGGGGAGGGGCCGGGTCGGAGGGAGTCGGGGGAGGGATCAGTCCCGGCGAGGAGCGTCGGGGGCGGGACCCGGCCGCGCTGGCAGGTGTTCGGGGAGGGCCAGCTGGGCCTGTGGGGGCTTCGGGAGAGGGGACCGGTCGGGGGCGTCTGCGGGGAGTCGGCCGGGGGACTCCTGAAGAGGCCGGGTCGGGGCCCGGGCGCGCGCAGGGGTTCCCTTACCGTGATCTTGGTTGAAGCCGGCGTAGAGCAGCCCGTTGCCGTGGGGGTTACACGGCAGGAGGTTCATGGCGCCGCCGCGAAGGGTCCGCCGCTCCTCAGCGCCGCATGTCCTGAGGGAGGCCGGGCGCCGGGGTCCCGTCTGCCTGGCGGAGGCCACCGCGCCGGAAGCGAGGGGCGGACGTGAGTGCGCGCGCAGCCAGGGAGCCGCGGAGCGCCGAGCGCATCCACCTGGGCCCGGCCAGGGCGGAGAGGGAGCACCGAGAGCGTCACGTGCGAGGGGGCGGAGGCCGCGTCGGGGGCGGGGCCTGAGCGGAGGGAGGCGGGCCTCGGGCTGGGGCGGGGCCCGGGCGGCTGGAGGCGGGGCCCGGGCGGCTGGGGGCGGGGCCCGGGCGGCTGGGCGCGGGGCCCGGGCGGCTGGGCGCGGGGCGGGTTCGGCGGCGGAGAATCTACCTGCTCGGAGGAGGTCCGAGGGCCACCCGTCCGGGCGGGGAGGACGATTCAGAGAAGCCAGGGCCCACAGCCCCTGATGTAACCAGAGCCCCACCCCCCAGGAATCATAGAAATTAAGTGTAAGAGACTTTTGCTTATTTTTAATTGATTGAAAAGATGGGTAGGTAAAAATAGTAACTGCATTATACGTTTTTTACGGTGTATAGAAGTAAAATGTACACAAAAATTGCAAAATGGATCGAAGTGAGAAGTGGAAGTATATGGAAGTATAGACACCCCCCCCCCATACAAACTTCCGCAGGACACAGAGCTGTCTGTCTGTCACCCCCTGGGACATACAGCCTCCCTGGACACACAGCCCCTCCTGGGACACACAGGGTACCCAGACCCCGGGGAAACACAGTCCAACCCCTCAAGGGACAACGTCCGGGGTTCCTGGCACGGGGCAGCCGGGCTGTGGTCCTACCCCAACATGAGTGGCTGTGGAGGCAAGAGTGGTGGTCCCAGGACCCCTACTCAGAGAGCTCTCCCGTCTCTCTGTCACTATCCCCCCGTCCTATCCTCCCCTTGCAGCTGGACAGCAGGGGTCAGCGAGCACCCCTTCCTGGCCCTGCCGCTGTCCATCTCCCACGGGGCTGTTGACCCATCCTACAGGGCAGCAACCTTTCCTCCTTGTGGCCTTGGGGTCTGAATTTGCCACGCATGCCATCCATATGTGGGGGCCACTCAGGCTGGTGGCCATGGTTTAGGACAGGGCTCAGGATCTAATCACAAATCTAGGACTCCTCACTGCAGCCCACAGACTCAGAAAGAACACTGCTCCCTGAGGCTCTCGCCCCATCCTGTCTGGTTGTTACCTCTGCACACCGGTACCTGTGGTCACTAAAGTGGGCACTCGGGGAAGCGAGAGGCTCAGCGCTTCCCTTGGTCTGTGGGAACTGAGGGGCCCCCCTCAGTTCATATTTTACTCCAAGTCCTGTGAAGATAGCAGTAGGCTGAGGGGGCTGGTGTGGGCGCCCCAGAATCTCAAAGCTGCCCCACCCTCCTGAATGGATTGGATGGTGGCCCCCAAAGGCGTATCCACTCAGACCCCGTGATTATCCTGTTTGGAGAAAGACTCTATGCAGATGTGATTAACAATCCCAAGCTGAGATCACCCAGGATCTAAGGTGGGCCTTAAATCCATGACAAGTGTCCTTCCAGAGAAGGAAGGAAGAGAAGACAGAGGGCTGGCCGCTTGGTGAGAAGGCTGAAGTCAGAGCCGTGCAGCCGCAAGCCAGCCCGTACTGAGAACTGCCACCCGCCCCCAGGAGCTGGAAGGGACCTGGAAAGGGTTCTCCCCCGCCATGAGGCGCCCCCCCCATGAGGCGCCCCCCCCCATGAGGGCATGCCATGGTAGCACACAAGTCTTCAGGCAGAAGATGGGAGACACAGACCAAAATGAGTGCTGGGACCCTCACTGACTGACCCCCCTCGAAGTGGGGGGGGCACGTTCTCACCTCTGGGGCACAGACTGGGGTTTGGGCCAGGATTGGGGCCTAGGCATTACATGTGTTAAGGGGAAAATTACATCTAATGTTTTAACAACACAGGCCACAGAGAGATGCTTCACAGAACCTCAGAATACTCTGCATGTCCCTGTGAGCCAAGGAGGGTCTGCACTGGGGAGGGGGTACTCTGTGAGGGGTCTGCATCTATTATGGGTTATTAAAGAATTTTAAAAAAAAGGTGCAAATACTGTGCGAAGCTGGGGGTTAGCCACCTGTGGGGAAACAAGCACATGCCATTCACACACAAGAGACAGACGATAGCGTGGGCACCGTGCAGCGGCACACTGGCACAGAGGCGTGAACATGAGCGCACAGAGCCCTTTATGTTGAACGTGAAACACGAGTTGCAGAAGCACACCTGTGCTGTAAACCCATTTACACGGAGCTTAGAATAGCAAACTGAGCAGCCTGTGGATTAGGGGCAATTATGTACACGGATGCTCGAGAATAAAGAAAACCAAGGGCAAGGCTTACGCAGAGCTGCAGATGGCGGTGGGCAAGAGAGCAATTTGCTACGGGTCCGGGGCATGTGTGGTTGGCTGAGTCCATGTCCACACCCTGATCCCTGCAACCTGTGAATGTGTCACCTTATGCCACAGAAGAGATTTTGCAGGACCGTCAGATGAGGAGATCATCGTGGATTGTCCAGGTGGGCCCTAAATGTAATCACATTTTAAGAGGGATGCAGGGGTGTCAATGTCCCTGTGGAGACAGACATTGGAGTGGTGCGGCCAGGAACCGGGGACTGTGGGCAGCATCTAGAAGCTGGAAGAGCCGTGGAACTGATTCTCTCATGGAGCTTCCGGAAGGAACCGTCCTGGCTGGTTGTGGCAGGCACAAGGCACCCAAACACAACAGCAATAGGAAACTATTAAACACGTAAGGTCGTTTCATGATAGGGGCACCTGGGTGGCTCATTCGGTAGAATGTACGCTCTTGATCTTGGAGTCGTGAGTTCAAGCCCTGGGTTGGGGCTAGAGCTTACTTTAAAAGTAAATGGAGGCACCTGGGGGGCTCAGTCAGTTAAGCGTCCGACTTCAGCTCAGGTCATGATCTCACGGTTTGTGAGTTTGAGCTCCACATCGGGAAAGATCAGAGCCTGGAACCTGCTTCCGATTCTGTGTCTCCCTCTCTCTCTCTGCCCTTCCCTCACTTGTTCTCTCTCTCTCTCTCTCTCTCAAAGATAAATAAACATTTGGGGCACCTGGGTGGCTTAGTAGTTGAGCGGCCGGCTTCGGCTCAGGTCACAGTCTTGCAGTTTGTGACTTTGAGCCCCGCGTCGGGCTCTGTGCTGACGGCTCAGAGCCTGGAGCTGCTTCAGATTCTGTGTCTCCCCCTCTCTCTCTGCCCCTTCCCTACTCACGCTTTGTCTCTCTCTCTCTCTCTCAAAAATGGATAAACATTAAAAAAAAAGATAAACATTAAACTTTTTTAAAAGGTTATTTCATGATATATTTCACTAATAAAATGATTAGAGAGCCTTCAAAAAAAGCCACCACCCATCACCCCATTTCTCAAGTGGAATATGAAGCAATGATGAAATTCCAGAGCAAGGACTCAAAGCCAGCAGACCACACTGATGGGATCTGACCTCCAAGGCCCTGCCCACCCCCCAGCCCCCGCCCCCACACGGAAGTAGGAAGTGAGCGTCTACCAGGCAGAGATGGTACCTGTCTTCCCGTCACTTCAGAGGGCACAGGGGAGAGTGCCAGAGAACTAGCACGCACAGCCTGGGGCAGCAGGCTCCGTGGGACACGACACTGCTCTGGCTGATGGGGGCAGGGTGGACGTAAGGTCTGATGGACGTAGGGGCCACAGAACCGCCTGGAAAGGGGCAGTGTCCGAGGCAGCCAGAGACCAGACAGCCCATCCTGCTTGCCGATGACCATGCTAACCTTGCCCTGTTTTCCCAGCTTCTAGATGAAAATTACTAGAATAGCCTTCTCAGAATCACCCCTGCTCCCTGGGAGCACCCAACACAGAACAAAGTGGGTTTCCCCTGATGCCCGCCAGGCACCTAGCACAAGCCCTATGCTAAGATGCTAAGTCCCCTCCAGCACCCTGCAGTGAAGATGCCCCGTCTCCATGGTTTGAGGTCTCCATCCTCGCAGAGTCCAGCACATTCCTGGTGATCTTTGGCTCCTGGCACTGCCGGCACCTCCAGAATGCCTCACGTAGGAGGGGTGAGGGCTGGAGCAACAGCTGCTGCTTTGGGGCCAGGCGGCCTTTGGGACTCTTGCTTTTTGCCTTTGCCTTCCTCTCCACAGAGGCCTCCCTCAATTGTTATCATGGGAAAACAGGGAAAGAAGCAATATTCTACTCGAGTTCCAGACCAATGCAGGGAAGGGACAGTAGTATGAAAAGCCTAAACTTGATTGTCAGGAGCCAGCCTTTTTTGAGAAGAAAGGCGTGTGAGAACCCAAAAATTTAAAGAAAGTGGGCACAGACACAAATATCCCATGAAAGCAAGAGCACGGGGGCCAGACCCCAATGCCAGGTTTAGGCATATTGGGGAAGGAGGGTCAGAGGAGAGGGGAGGCAGGGCCAGCCCAGGATACAGCTCAGTCTCTGCACAGGGCGCTGCAGACTCTAACGCTCGGGTAGGGAACCATGCCAGGCAGCAGCCAGCCTGCTTATGTGAAGCTGCTCCACTACCGACCACTGACCCGTCTGCCGCTGTCTGGCAGACATGCCCCGCAGCCACCCTGGCCTGAGACTCTGCTCAGCTTGTCCGGTTACTCTGGCCGACTGTCATCAATAGCTCGGCACAGTGAGAACACTTCCAGAAGAGGCTGGGACCCGGGGCGAAAGTAAGACCCCAAGGACATGTGCACTGCTGGGAGGGGACAGAGTGAGCACAGGGGCCCAGCCCGCTGGCCCCCCAGCCCTCCCAGCTGGGGCGCAGCACACCTGACCCCGGGGCAGCCGGACCGCCTCCCCGGCTCCCCTAGCACAGGCAGCTTCAATGCTGCTTCTTGAAGAGGTTCTCCAGCAAAGGGCGACATCTCCGTCTCTGTCTCCTCGGCCAATGTTACCAGGCCTGTAATTGACATTTTGTCCACATTCACTATTTTCCTGGCTAATTCCTCACCAAAGTCGTGAGTCTCTGTCTAGGAAGTTAGTCTGCATTGCAATAATTTTCACAGGGCAATTGAAGACATAATTGTACATAATATATTTTGAATCTAGATACTTAAAAAGAGAATTACAAACATCTGGGGCATCATCTGGCATTCCTGTTTTACACTTTGGGTGGGTTTTGCCCGCGATGGGGCCCTGGGAGAAAATGACAATGTTTGGGAGCAGTTTTTCTAGGGTTCAGTTTACATTTGATTATATTTTTGGCATATTCCCACCAAAACATTCATGCTTTACTTAATGATACATTCCGTATTTCAATTTGTTTCTCTTTCATAGAAATGCCACTTTGATTTGATATAGTACTTTCTGCTGTGAAGTATAACTTGTTTTAGTGTCCTGGGGCCACTGTAACGAAGTGCCCCGCCGGGGGCGGGGTGGGGGGGGTGCGCTTCACACAGCAAAGATTTGCCCTCTCTCAGGTCTGGGGTGAGTCTGAGACCCAGGTGTGGGCATTCCTGCAGGGGCCCTGGGGGCCCCTTCCCACCTCTGCCAATCCCCCTGGGTGGCCTGTGTGCTCTGGAAACCCCTTGGAAGAGCTCGGGGTCACAGAGGCTTCAGGACCTTGGTTATATTCCTTCTAGAACATCGGTGGTAATCCTAAGGAGTGCTTCGATTGAATGGAAGGGAAAAGAGCCCTGTTTGGCCCGGTGTGACCCTGCCACCAGGGGACCCATTCCGGCGTTCCACCACCTTCCACTGCCTCAGGCACACACACACCTTCGGTTCTCAAGAAGCGTGCTCTTCAAAGGGGAGGGGGGCTTCATTGAGCTTGGACCTCTCCTCACATCCCTTTGGCCGCCAGCAGGGGGAGGAGACGCACCACCGCAGCCAGGCCTGCCTCAGCCACCGCAGGTCGATGACGCCTGGGGCCCCGGACGGTGGGTCAGCCCTTCTGTCTCCATCCACTGTCCGGCGGAGAGAAGGTGCGCACGACCTCCCAGGCAGCCCCTGCGGTTCACCTGCCACCTACTGGCCTGCTGCCCATGGACACGTGTCCCTGTCCTGCCCTGCGGGCTGCACGACCCCGGCCTGGCTCTTGGCCTTCAGTAACTGGCCAGGCTCATTTCTCCTCTCTGGGCCTCAGCTGCATCTCCGAATAGAGATGTTGCTTCCAGGGGCGCCTGGGTGGCTTAATTGGTTGAGCGTCCGACTTTCGCTTAGGTCATGATCTCGCAGTTCGTGGGTTTGAGCCCCACGTCGGACTCTGTGCTGACTGCCTGCTTGGAGCCTGGAGCCTGTTTCAGTCTGTATCTCCCTCTCTCTCTGACCCTCCCCTGCTCACGCTGTCTCTCTCTCTCTCTCTCTCTCTCCTAGAAATAAATAAAAATATTAAAAAAAAAAAGATGTTGCTTCCGATTCCAGGCTCCGTTAAGTTTCTAAAAATCTGTAAACCACTAACAGAAACTGAGCACACCTGGGTGTTTTCTCATTTCTAGTTATTTTTTTTTAATTCCTCACTCTGGAGCACCTGGGTGGCTCAGTCGGTTAAGCATCTGACTCTTGGTCTCGGCTCAGGTCATGATCTCATGGTTTGAGAGTTCAGGCCCCGCGTAGGGCTGAACGGTGTGGCGCCTCTTTGGGATTTTCTCTTTCCCCCTCCCTCTCTGCTCCTCCCCCACTCACACTCTGCCTCTCTCAAAATAAATATATCGACTAAACAAAAGAATTATTTTTACAATAAAAAATAACTCTGCCTGGGTGGCTCAGTCAGTTAAGTGTCTGACTCTTGGTCTCGGCTCAGGTCATGATCTCATGGTTTGAGAGTTCAGGCCCCGCGTCGGGCTGAACGGTGTGGCGCCTCTTTGGGATTTTCTCTTTCCCCCTCCCTCTCTGCTCCTCCCCCACTCACACTCTGCCTCTCTCAAAATAAATATATCGACTAAACAAAAGAATTATTTTTACAATAAAAAATAACTCTGCCTGGGTGGTGGAGTTGGTTAAGTGTCTGACTCTTGGTCTCGGCTCAGGTCATGATCTCATGGTTTGAGAGTTCAGGCCCCGCGTCGGGCTGAACGGTGTGGCGCCTCTTTGGGATTTTCTCTTTCCCCCTCTCTCTCTGCTCCTCCCCCACTTGTACTCTGTGTCTCTTAAAATAAGTAAATTTAAAAAATAAAATATAAAAATTTCTCATTGTAACCTCCAGCTGTTGCAGACAGAGGTGAAGCAGGTACAGCCAGGAAGGCAAGACCCTGCCCGGGGCTCCCATGTCCCCATGTCCTGTGTGTGTCACTTGTGATCTGTGATTAGGACCTCGTCTGTCAGGTGGGGGGGGCACATCCCAGAGGGATTCAGGGGCACCTCCCTGCTCTCACCTGACTGGCATGCACTTGAGGGCCTCTCCTTACTACTTCCCACTTTTTTTGAGAGAGAGAGCACAACCGGGGGCAGGTGCAGAGAGAGGGAGAGAGTCCCAAGCAGGCTCCATGCTCAGCGCAGAGGCCATGACCCTGGGATGGTGGCCTGAGCCAAAATCAAGAGTCAGACGCTTAACCCACTGAGCCACCCAGGTGTCCCGAGACTTCCCACTTCCTGCCTCTACATGTCCCTCCAGGGAAAGGACGCTTCTCCAACAGATGCCACGGTTCAGCAGTGAAGCTTTGCTGCCAGTGCCATGTGGAGGCGCCACCTTCTGGGGCCTGAAACAGGTGGCAAAGCAAATGACATAACGGGCTACCCAGACACACAAAATCAGAAAGAACCAGCTGACAGTCCTACCAAGAAACAAGTATACATTTTATTGTCAAGAAACATTTCCTTAAACAATAGTGTCCACTTCATTCCTCACCGAAACGACTTTGAGTGACACTTTCCTTGCTGATCTGGATCTGTTGTAACTATGCCGCGGCCGCTCGGCACAACTAGAGAGATCTTTGGCATTTTCTTCCCTTAGCTTCATAACCTGTGGAACATCTTGTACAAAAAAATGTAGATTTACAGAAAAATATGCATATAAATCACTTATTAATCCCAAAACATGGTAAATAACATAGCAAAAACTTTATCAAATCCGTGTCAGACTCGAGCTGGACAACGCGGCCATGCACTTGATTCTCCACAGCGCTTCATAAACTCGCGCTCCGGGGTGAAGAGGAGGTTTGCAAAAAGGCCCTCTCGTGAGGTCGAAGACTAATTTCTCTCTCCCGTTGCTTTCCAGAGTCCCTGGAATTTGCAGTCGTGACACACATGTCACTGTTCTTATAAAAGCAGTTATGTTAAGGAAAGGCTGTGCTGCAGCCACGACGTAAGTGACACCCGGAATCTCAAGTTACCAAGAGCTGAGCAGAGAGCTGACCCCCCTTTATAAATACACGTCTAAAACAAGAGCTTCATGCACATCCACGTGGAAACATCCAAGTCAAGCTGTGGAGGGTCTTTCAACGCACGGGGCGGCCTGGTCGCCATGGAAGACTGGCAGGCGCTTTCCTGGGCCTGCATGGGGCTCCAGCGCCCCACGTGTGGCGGCTCAGAGGCTCCCCTGGAGGGGCTGGCGTCGAGTCCTCGCCCCCTCAGGAGACTTTACAGCTGTTCCGGGGGCAGCGCTTGGGCGGGCTCTGGGGGGGGCGGGCGGCCTTCACCTTTCGGAGGCTGCTCCTCTTGTGGGTGGAGCTGGAGGTGAGCGAGTAGGAGCGGCCGTGCATCATCCTGGCATTCAGGCCACTGGCCATGGAGAAGGATTTGAGGTGGCTCCTCAAGGCCATGGGCAGCGGGAGCCTGTCGACCAGGTGCACGGGCGTGCAGGACACCACGGCTCGGCAGCAGAGGTCCTGGAGGGTCAGCACTTGGGAGAGGAGACGAAGGGGGACCGGGTTTAGTTTATGACACAGCCTGACCACCTTCCTCCCTGGGCTGTTGGGGCTGAACGCCCACTGGCTGTGCCCACCTGCGGCACTGGGCAGGGCCGGGGACCGGAATCCCCTGCCGTCTTTCCGTCCAGGTCCAAGAGGTGGGCAGACCTGGAGGGAGACAACGGCACTCACACCGCCACAGTTTGGGGTAAGAGACCAAGGGCGTCAGGGATGACCTCCTTCCCAGCCGCACGGCTGACCTTGGCAGCACATGTGACCAGCTGTCTAAAGAAGGGTATGTTCAAGAGAATACCTGAGGAGCCAAAGCTGTGCTTCAATGTCACCTACACCAACCCTTATGTGAGTCGGGCTCCCTGCCTGGTGGGACGGGGCTCTTGGGGACCTGCTGAGGGGCGCATTCCCAGGGTGCCCCTCTCCCACCACAGCCCCCAAACAGGTGAGGCCCAGGGTGCCAGCAAAGAGCTCTTTCTGCTCAGTGGTTCTTAACTGGGGGTGGCTTTGACTCCGTGGCACGCTTGTGGTTTCCACAGCCGGGGGGCAGGGGGCACGGGGCACTGAATGCCCCCCCAGATCAAACAGCTCCACCCGACGGGTAGCAGTGCTGAGGGGGAGAACCCCTGATTCAGAAGAATCGTATTTTGCTCAGTCAACCCTATGCCACCCAATTCAAAATTCACAAAAAATACAGATTTTACGTTTCTGTCTTTAACAATAATACGGGGACAGGTTACTCAGCAGAAAGCCGTGATGGTGAAATGTCACCACAAAGTAGATGAAATAAGAGCACAGGCCTTGGGGCGGCTGGAGGGCACGGTCTTGAACTCGCTTAGGTCATGATCTCACGGATCGTGGGATCGAGCCCTTCATTGGGCTCTGCACTGATGGCTTGGAGCCTGCTTGGGATTTGCTCTCTCCTCTCTGCCCCTCCCCTGCATGTGCTTGTGCACACTCTCTGTCTCTCTCGCTCTCAAATAAACTAAAAAATGTTCTTAAAAAAGAGCACAGGTCTTTGGACATATTAACACTGAAGAATCTGAACAGTATTCCAATTTCAGTCATGTGGTTGTTGACAACACTGTGCACTTCTCTGTCTCAAGCTCCCCTCTATGCAAACAGAATGACTTGGAAGCAACTCATTCCTAACGTGATATGCTCTTCCCAAAGCCACCAGGGGTGGGGGCCGGGGGGGAGGGTCTGTGCAAAGTCTAGCGTCTGAGCACCTGGCAACTGTGGCCTCGGGTGCTGTGTCCCTCCAGGCTCAGGGGTCTGCTCTGCGTGGGGAGGTGCTGCCCGTCCTCGCCACACACGCCTGTGGCTACGAAATGCCTTCACCTCTGCCCCCCCCCCCACTTCAGAAATGCCTCTCGTGAACATTCTGACAAAACTGTTCATACTGAGGTCTCTCAGATTCACTGTATTCCCTCCCTGGGAATGGACATGGCGGCCTGAGGTGGGTCCTGGGGGGTGGGCCCGGCGCTGGGGGCTGGGGACCCCACGGCCTAGTGGGGGCCTACCCTTGCTCGGCCTCCAGAGCCGGTCCATCCCATGTCGCAGCAGCACGGTCCTGGCCAGCTCCGTGAAGGACTCGGTGATGTTGAAGTTACACAGAGGGCTGACCTCGAAGAAGGTGACGCCCAGGCGCTCCGCGTAGGCCTGGGCCTGCTCCGTGGGGACTTGCCGCTTGAAGGCCAAATGCAGGCGGTTTCCCACCAGGATTTTAGGAACACCAGGGGCATGCTGCAGCGGAGAGACAGGCAAGGAACAGGGGCCACTTGTGCGAGCCTTTGTTGCTGGCACCGCTAGCGAGCAGGGTAAACGGCCTCCTCCCCAAATTCGTGCCCACCCAGAACCTCAGAATGTGCCTTTATTGGAAAAGGATGTTTGCAGATGTAATTAGTTAAGACGCTGGGATGGGCTGTCAATCCAGGCATGGTGTCCTTGGAAGAAGAGGAGAGGACCCAGGACACACAGGGGAAAAGCCACGTGGTGGCAGGGTCACGGGGCCACAGGCCAAGGCCGTCGGCGGCCACCCGGAGCTGGAAGAGGCAGGAAGGTCCTCCGGAGGCGGGGAGCCTGGCCCCAGTGACACTGGGGTTTGGACTCCTGGCCTCCAAAATGTGGGAAAACAAACTTCTGTTGTTTATGACGACGTGTTTCAGCAGCTGTGGAAAACCAACAGCATGAGCGGGACTGGCCACCCTGTGCCCACGTCGGCAGTCGGCCGGGTCAACGCGCCAGCAGGCAGCTTGTGGCCCGGCTCCCCGGCCAGGGCCTGGTCCCGCTCTGGGAGGGGGCTCAGAGTCCTTGATGCCGGAGCCTTGTGCCCGGGCCCTCACGCCCACTCAGATGGTGCTCAGGCACAACCTTCGTACCTCATCTATCTCCTTAATCCACCGGTCGATGCCATCAAAGGACCAGCGGTTTGCGATGTCATAGACCAGGATCACACCCTGCGGGGAGAGGCGCCAGGCTTACTTCGTGGGACAGAGGGGGGCGCAGCTCTGGGCCATGCTGGCCCGTGTGCAGGCTACTCAACCACAGACACAACCAGCAAAATGACCGTTTTACTAATTTTAACAGAAAACACATTATTTTTATTTATCTACCAAGTGCAGTAGTTAAATATTTATTTCTAATGATACTTCACGAGCTCATTAATACATTGGCAAACGCGAAGGTGAGTTGGGGACTAGCACTCAGGTCCTCACATCCACACGCTGCTCTAGGGACACGGACTGTGGAGGTACTGCGGGGATCAGCACCCGCCTAGGGGCAGAGCCCACCCACCTGGACAGAGAGCCTCCTACACATGCACGGGCACATACACACAAGCACACGAACACAGGTGCACACATACAGACGTGCACACGCAAAGCCCACGCACACGCACATAGAGAGATGCCCGTGGCCACACAGAGCGTGCGTGCACACATACGTGCACACATAACACATGCACGCACACACCCCTGATGCTGACGGTTTGCAAGCCACCCAACATGCCTTGGCACACTTTCAGACTCTCTCTCTCTTTTTTTTTTTTTTTTTTTACACTTTCAGATTCTTGCATCAATTCTTATATGAGCTTAATTGCCTTATTCTCCAGGTCCATTAAAGAGCATTCCAATGTCATTATTCAGTCAGTCTGACTTCCTGGCTCAGGGGATGTTACCTGTGCGCCCCGAGAGTAGGAGCGGAATATGGTACAAAATCTTCCCTGCCCGGATGTATCCCTGGAAAAGATGTTGGAGGCCAGTGAGAAGAAATCACTGTTTCTTCCTGACAGTAGGGTTTTGAACTTGGGAGCCATAGCAAACATATTTTACAACGGTCAGGCAGTGGCCATCTCACTGCAGATACATCCCTAAGTTTATCGACACGAGGAACTGATGTGTGGGGTGGGGGGTGCTCACCTGGGACGGAGCTCCAGGTGCCACGACTCAGCATAAAAAACAGGATGGCTCCCTGGGATGGATGCCAGCAGCCTGTTCTCCTGGCAGGGGCCCTCGGGGCCAGCGGGCACGGATTCCCCGCATCTTATACGAGGGCAACACTCATCTGCGTGTGCAGTCAGCACACCCACATCGCCCACATCAACACACGGCCCCCTGGACGAGGGTGGGAGGGCAGGCCTCCCTGCCAGACGCGAACTCATATACAAACAGTGAGACCCAGCACGACTTGACTTTTCTCTTTGTTTCTCTGTCACCGGCACCTGCCACCCCTGCCTCCTGAGTCCTAAATGAGGTGCCACTAAGGAGAGCAGGGCCTGGGGTTCAGAAGGGCCAGAGGTGCTGACTGTGGCCAAAGACGTGGGAAGAGGACCTCACGTGCTGAGAGCAAATGGCGAACTCCCGGATCAGCCCGTACAGGGTGCAGGGAGAAGACACAGAAGGAGAGCAGTCTTGGGAGGCAAGTCACCGGCTCTGCATGGGAGATGGGTGGCTATCGTGAAATGAGACTGCTCCCTGGATGTGGGGGTGCCGCAGAGGACCCCGGGGTCTGGCCAGAGCAATGGGGGTGCAGGGACATGAAGGCCCCTAAGATGGGCCCCTCTGATGAGAAACCGAGTCAGGAGAGTTGTCAGGCGGGTGCTTAGGAGGAGACGGGGAGCAGCCTTAGGCACCAGCGCAAGTATGGGCTGAGAGGGCCCTGGACGGCCTCTGGGGAGAAGGACGGGGCGGGACAGGCCCTGGGCCCTGCAGCTGCTCCGGCCTGTCCGGAGCGTGGTGAGGGGCAGGCATCAGAGCAGAGCAGGGGAGAGCAGGGCACCTGAGCCTCACTGACCCCGGGTGGCTCAGCTCAGACACGCAGGCTGCTGGCGGGGCCTCACCCACAACCCCCGCCGTCCTGGGTGGCGGTGGGAAGGGACGGGGCTGAGGGGACACAGTGGAGAGGCCCCCGCTGGACTTTGGGGCTAAGGGCTCCCTTCCAGCTCCCAGAAGCTCAAGGGCATGTTGGGAGGCGGGGAGGGGGGAAGAGAGCCGCCACCAGGTGGCCCAGAAGGGATGACACAGGGCCCGGACAGGAGTCGGGCAAGTCACACGGGGAGGCGGGCACCCCAGGGAACCCCGGTTTCCCCACCCCCACCCCACCTGAACTGATGGGGCAGAGGCAGGTGTTTATGACCCGAACCTCAGAGACCAGGCTGCGGGGGTGGGGGTGGGGGTGGTCACGAGAAAGGGATCCGGTCCAGGCCTGGCCGGGGCGGGGGGCCCTTGCCTGCCAGCCTCCCCACACCTGCCACGGGTCTGTCTCCATCGCGTTCACGGCCCCTCCGGGCACTGGGGAGGCAGAGGCAGAAGCCGGTTTCAGCAAGGCCACGTCCTGGACAGACTTCCAGGGACCCACAAAGGCCCTGGGGTTCCCTCCCATGGACAAAGCCTAGGTGGAAGTGGATCCCCACCTCCTCCGGGGCAGCCCCTGGGTCTGCTCACTGGTACACCCTCCTCCCAGAGCGGGGGTGGGGGGAGGGTACCTACTCACCAGAGCTGCAGCTTCACCCGCCGGCCGTCCAGCAGGATGGTGGTGGTCTTGTAGTCGATGCCTGTGGAAGGAGTGGGGGCAGCTTAAGTGCTGCTGGCCTTGAAGCCCCTCCTCACGGTCACTCCGAAGCGAAAGGGCACCGGCGAAGAGAGCTCTCCCAGGGGAGAGGAAGGGCTTCTCACCAGGGCAGAGTCACAGGTTTTCAGGCTGGTGGACCGGACCCTGCTTTGGGTTTTGCCGGATTCCTTCGGGGCCTGTCCACCCCACGGGGCCTCCAGCTCCCCTCCTCACCGGCACAGCTGCCTCCAGCCCAAGGCCGGCCCAGCACAGGAGGGGAAGGCGGGCCTGGGCTTGGACTTCAGCCCCCACCCCCCGCACCCAGCTCGCTGGCCCTGACTTTGACATTAAAAAAAACCACACACACAGATGCAACACAATTTATGATCACAAGAATCCAAACTGCTTAGTAACCCACCACACCAGGCTTTGTGCTGCTCTATTTACTGTTTTTTCTGCTTCCTCAGGGATCTCTCTCAAAGCACACAAACCTAGAGAAGGCCAGCCTTGAAAATGTCCCGGGATGTGGCCAGACTTCGGATGCCTTGACAAGGAAAGCAGGATTAAGGGTTGTAACTCTACAGGCAAGCGTGCTGGGGTGGAGGGTGGGGGGCAGGCAGGGGAAGAGAGAGAGACCCTGCGTGATCACCTGGATGAGGGGGCATAAGGCAGGCTGAGGGCAAAGTACAGCTGGCATACCCCCTCCCCCCCAAGGTGGGATATGTATGACACTCCTGGGACACTCCTGGCTACCCAAAAACAGGAAGGGACAGAAAAAAAAAATGGTTAAACTGGTAAAAGTCTCAGATCAGTTTACAAGAAAAAGGCAATCCCATCAGGAGCCTAAAGTCCAGAATTCCCTACTTGCCAGAGGGAAAATCAACCTTACCTAGGTCTCCAGGAATCTGTGAGTCTTTAGCATATGAAAATCCCTTTAAAAAACTTGTTGACTTTACCTCCCTGAGACCCATAGAATATAAGGAGTCACTTCACATCTCCAGTCCAGCTCTTTCTGCCCAGGGGCCCTGTCCCTGTGCTTTAATAAAATCACCTTTTTGCACCAAAAACGTCTTCAAAAACTCTTTCTTGGCCACCAGCTCTGAACCCCACCATCACCCCAAAACTTCATCAGGCCTCACCCTTCACCCCAAAACTTCATCAGGCCTCACCCTGAGAACATCCTGGAACGGGTGTGAAATCTTAACAGCTCTCCACCAAAAGAAAAATCCCAGCACCCAAAGCTCAGAAAGCAAGCTCCTCAAATACAGTGCTAGAGAAGGTATCATTTCCCAGTAGCTTAGCTGTGCTCCCTTGACAGATCTACAATGCTACCCACCCCCCCAAAAAATAGGCCCCAAGAAAAAGAACATCATATTCATAAACCCTCCTGTCTTTACGGCAGGCTGAGGGCGATACAGTATGCATGGAAGAAGGCAACAGATTTGCTTCACATTCTGTGGACACATTGCCCAAGGTTTTAGGGCAGATATTCCAGAAACTGCATAGGTCAGTACCTTCAGGGTCTGTGAAATTATTCTTTGGAGTGACCCCCCAAGGGCCTCTTCACAACCCTTTAAAATCCCACTAAACTCTCTGGAAGGCAACTTCAAATGCCTACATTCTTCCTTTTGCAGCGGTCAGCAATGGGCATGTATGGAGTGAGACACACACACACACAATAAATAGAATACATATATATAATAGAATATACATATATATCCTATATAATAGAATATACATACACACATTTTAAATAGAACATATACATATATAACAAATAGAATGTATAATCACATAATAAATAAGAACATATACATATATAATTAAACATAAAACACAAACATATAGAGAACTTCAAAATTAATTTTGAAAATATTTAATTTTTCCCTTGAAATGCTAAACGTTTTGTACCATTCACATGAAGCAACAAATAAGTACACTTGGGGATCTACTTTTGAGTTTAGAGAGAACCTTGGCTTTGGATGTCTGTTTCCAGACAGCAAGAGAGAGCTCTCACCATTCACAGCCCGGAAAGGTATTCCATTGTTAACCTTTAGGAGATTAACCAACTGCTTGAGTTGGGTTGGCTCCTTTGATTTACAAAATGTCAAAAGGCTTCTGGGCCTTTTGGCTAAGATCAAGTATGATTTACAAAGTGTCCACATGTAGTTATTTTTCAGGCTCACAATAAAAAAAAAAGTCTTCATAAATTTAAAAGAATTTATACCTGATGATCTTTTTAATCACACTGTGAGTTTTTAAAACTGTATTTGGTTTTGTTTTCATCAGTCATAAATGTATATGGTTTCAAGCGTCACAGACTTAGTATGGAAAACGACAGGCCCTGATTCACATCCCAACACAGTGTCCTATTACCTATCTTTTTATTTCTTTTGCTATGTATTTCCAAATTTATAAATATATGTGTATTCTTACTTCCTGACTTTTCAGGTTTAGGCATTAATAAACTTTCCACTGTAGAAAGTGAAAGTGTAGTTCTTTTTCATTGACATACTCCACATACCTCTCTCTCTCACACACACACATACACACACACACAGTATAGTTATTTGCCATGTCAGCTAGATCAATATCCAATTTTACATCAGTGTGACCAAGTAAACACTATCTGTAGCTGGATCGTGTGGTATACTGTGTTTGTTCTTCCTGTACAACTTTTGGTTTTTACTAGAGTTAAAAATTGCCTTTTTGTTTGTTTAGTTTTCCTTGCATTTATCACTAACACATCCCTAAAATCTCCTCCAGTTATCTAGACCTCCTCTTAGTACTTCCAAACTTTCAGGTGTTTCACCTTCTTGGGGGCATCTTCCCAGAGCTTCTGTCCAGCTCGCATGTGAACTGAGAGCATGGCCATCTTCCTGGGCTCTCCTTTCTCCTACTGTGAAATCCTACATTTCCCTCTGTTGGTTTATTTCCTCCCTTTTTCCTCCTGAGAAACGTTGTGGAAGATAGTTTTTAAGACTGTGCATGTTTGTAACGTCTGTAGCCTGCACTTACTCTTCCTTGAGATTGGATGGGCACACAATTGATGTAGGAAATCATTTTCTTTCAGAAGTATGCAGGTCTACCTTCCAGAGTTCCTTTAGATAAGTCAGATGTCAAACTGGTTGTTGGCTCTTTGAAATATATTTTGGTCTCTCTGGTGGTAAGGCCTGGCCCCAGCACTCTGCAATTTCATGCCTTGTTATGGGGCATCTTCATTGTTATGCTCACCATGTGACTTGCTCTTTCAGTCTGGAGATGCAATCTTTAGATTCTGAGAAATGTTCTTGAATTATTCACTTGTTTCCTCCTGCTGGGGTATTGTTACTAAGACAATGGGCCTCCTGAACCTATTCCCTGATTTTCTTATTGTGTCTTATTTTGTATCTCTCTCTTTTTCTCAACATTATGGAAAATGATCTCAATGTTACCTTTTATTCTTTTTTTGAAATGTTTATTTCTCACATCACATTAAAAATTATTTAATAATAAATAACTTTTATTTATTTTTGAGAGACAGAGAGAGACAGAGCATGAGCAGGGGAGGGGCAAAGAGAAAGGGAGACACAGAATCCAAAGCAGGCTCCAGCCTCCGAGCTGTCAGCACAGAGCCTGATGCGGGGCTCGAACTCACAAACCACAAGATCATGACCTGAGCCGAAGTCGGATGCTTAACTGACCGAGCCACCCAGGCGCCCCTGCCATCACATTTGAAATTTCCAAGATCTTTGTTGTTTTTGGATTGCTCCCTTTTGAGTTCCTGCTTCTGGCCGTGGCTGCACGGCTCCTCCTGGGACAGAACTCATGCAGGCAGCAGCTATCAGTGATGAACAAGATATAAAAACCAGTGACCCCAAAACACTGGAGAGTGACCAGCTACATGAGGGAGGGGATCTCCACCACTTCTTCCACTTTGGCGTCACATTCACACGGTTTGGGGCTGCCTGCGGCGAGGGGGCTGCCTGCGGCCAGCTTCCTCACCGCGTGGGAGAGGAGCTGGGAAGTAAGCTAGTGCAGACGGAAGCACAGACGGAAGCGCAGACGGAAGCACAGATGGAAGCGCAGACGGAAGCGCAGACGGAAGCGCAGACAGAAGCGCAGACAGAAGCGCAGATGGGGAGAAAGCAGTAGAGAATCCTGAGAGGCTCAGGCGTCAGGACCCAGCCAGGCCTCAAAGGAGGCCTGTCCCTTCAGGTGTCAGTCACCTGAGCCTGTAAACCCCTCTCTGCTTGAGCTGCTTGGAGGTGACTTTTTTTATTTCCGTCAAAAATGTCCATTCCGGGGGCACCTGGGTGGCTCAGGCGGTTAAGCATATGACT